GCTTCGCAAGAGGTTTTCATCTGTTGGGAGAGATACATGTGGCCTCCCCCCCCCGCCACTGAAAGAATACTCACCCTTCAATAAAGACTCTTATCGTTGAAGTCTGTCTTCAGTGTTTCTTGGTTCTGCTTCTGAAGCTGCAAGAGAAAGGACTGGTGACATTTTGGCCAGCACTGATAAGAGAAGAAGAGGACAGCCTGGGGATCAATATGTCACCGTGTTTCCCAAGAAGCCCAGCAGTGCACCACTGGAGTTTACTTGAACTTGGGGGTCTGCTGATAACTAAGATACCTTCCATGCAATCTATGCTGTGTCAGGGAGCAGAGCAGATTTATTTATGGATAGGCAGCAACTAGATGTTTGGTAATTTGCCAAGAAGTATTTTTGACTTCCAACTGTGTTCACAATAGCAAAAGTTAAGAGTCCCGCAAAAACGGACTGCTAGGAAAGAAATCTAGTAAAATATAAGAGGTGAAAAGGACCTGTAAGCAGGGTTCATGAACTAATCACAAACTTCTGTGCTGAGTCTCCACCAGGAATGAACATATTCTTTTATGTACATTTGTAGTATGTTCATTCACCTTAATCAGTATTTCACGCCCTGTTTCTACTTGTAGATATCAGGGCTCTAGCAAAATACAAAGTGGATCCTGTATGTCTGAAGCCTGTTCACTGCTAGCTTAATCCATTAAGTGGATCCTGTATGTCTGAAGCCTGTTCACTGCTAGCTTAATCCATTAGTAAGATTACTCCAGCAGTGAGAAGTGGTGGCAAAGGAGAAACATATGAGTATTTGAGCACACTCATCTCTTTTCTTGGGTACAAGGATGCAATAGGATGAAGGATTCTCTTTTTTAGTGAGTTTCTTACCTGTGTAGAATGCTTCCTCCTTATAGCAGTAAGTCCTGAAGTAGAGCAGAGATTCTTGGCTGGTTGGTGGTAGACATTTGGAGGCAGAGTACTATTAAGGAATCTGAGAAAAGTTATAATCAGCTACCCTGATGTCTTCATTTTCTTCAGTAGCTGGTTGATCCTTTTTTCCACAAAATGTTCCATCATCACTTTTTCTTTCTTTCTTTCTTTCTTTCTTTCTTTCTTTCTTTCTTTCTTTCTTTCTTTCTTTCTTTCTTTCTTTCTTTCTTTCTTTCAGAGCACTGCACAATTCAATGGACACACATGAAATTTGATAAAATAAAAAACTAATAAAAATGTCAAGAGAACCAAACTATTTTTGACCAGAAGCAGTCAGAGCTTGAGATGTGTGCCGAAACTTTTCCTTGACTTTAGTTATCATTCAGGAGTCAGAGTCCATGAAATTAGCGGGTTTTGTGCTGTTCTATATACCACTTCTGCAATATCAGAATTGTGCTCCCTATCTATGGCCAGTATCAGAGTGGACAGCTTAGTGTTTTATGTTTACCAAACAGGAGTATACAAAAGTTTCATGTCACTTTCATATTTCCTCTCCCATGTAATGTTTCAGTGCATTTTTGTCTGTCAAAACACCTCAGAAACGTTCATCCCCCAATGAGACAGTGGGCTGTGTGGGGAATTTCTGTCTTCTTCTTAGTGGAGTGTACCGTACATGTAGAACTGGTGGTGAAAGAGTATCTTGGCTGAAGAAGCATCTTTGTGTGACTTCTGATAACATTGTGCACTGAGGAATGAGCATTGCCAGAGTTTTCCCCATAAATTAGTACCTCCATAGGCCTGATGATGATTTTTCTTTTTCACTCAGTGTTGCCCGTTTCAGAGTGGATTGATCCTCTGTTGCCTAGTCTCTGTTTTCTTTGGGGGGGGAGAGAGTAGTTTTTAAGGGTTCAGAGAGCTTTCTGAGTGTCAGAAAACATGAATGTGGAAACACAAACAGCAAACCCCAAAGAAACTCTTCCTTTCATGTATACAAACAAGAATGATACACTAAAATAAAAAATAACCTTATATGAGAGAAATACAAACATTTTGCCATACATGTCCATGCTCTTCAGACCCCTGAGAACTGCCCTCAGCCCTACACATACCCCCTTTTAAAAAAGGCTTCTTGAGTCTTTGATGGGGGGAGCAGCTTCCCTCCAGCTTGTTTTAGACCTATCAAGGAGGCCTTTTTTGAAACTAGAAGTGCTTGGAAATAAACATAGGTTTTGAAAGAAATTTCTCTCAGGTTAAAAGAAACAGGGACAGTGACTCTAGGAGGTGTTGGGTTGCATAAAAATACTGGGGGGGGGGATGAGGGCCATAGTTTGGTTTATATATTAGAGAACGGCAATAACTTTAATTTTTGTAAAAATGTATATGTGGGATGGAAAGAACTTGAAATTATTAAAAAAAAACTTCAAACCAGGGGCTTTGGTCATCTAGGCCCAAGTTAAGTTATTTCTTAACTCCTAAAAGTATGACTTTGAAATGCCTATGCATTCAACTATGTTTGTAATGAGTTGAGGCTGCCATCTCTTTTATTTTCTTTTTGGAGAAGCTCTCTAGCTTCTGGCAGGTGCAAAACGGTAATGCCGGAAATAGCTGCACCTATTGAATTTGGCTGGTGCACATAGTATAGTATTTCTTTCCAATTTCTTTTTGTAGAATTAATCAAAACCTGGATGGAAAATTCTGTATGGAAAAAAAAATCAACATTTAAATAAGAAGAAGTGAAAGTAACAGATTTTCTCATCCCTATTATATTTTTATAGTGGGTGCTGTAAATGGCTCCTCTATTTGTTGAAATTTTAGCTACCATGATATAATGTTGGGTCGTGTATACATGCAGGATTTAGGGGAAATCCATTTGCTTTCAATGGGTGCAACATAGGACCATACTGTTAATCGTATTTACTTCGTTTCACCTTATGAATTGAGTGTTTATTCCCCCACCCGCACAATGTAAGGGGATCATTTTAATGATCAGCCCAAATTATGTCCCACACTGTTTAGAGGTTGTTGTTTTTTTGGCAGAAATTCTACAGCTCTATTTTGCTTTTAAATTGTCAGAAGTGTAACAGAAGCAGGAGTGCAGCATGTCACAGGTTCTAGGAACAAAGATCTGGACTCAAAACTTTCAGAATTTTCTAACCCTACACTAGAATAATCCACTGTGAATAAAAATCGCACTAAGCTAAAAGTGTAAAAGCTGCACTTTTTAAAACGAGATTATTTAAAATCTTGGTACAGTTCTCATTACTATTCTGGAGAGGTCTCATTGACTTGCATGTGGTTCTTTTGGAGTAGTTATTTCACTGGAAGGCTTGGCAATACCTTTCAGCAAGCTCCAAAACTTAAGACAATTCTTGAGACGATTATTGGTTCTAATTCTTGTACTTGTTTTAAAAAAAATTAGCTCTGGAAATAATTCAAAGAGTTGCATATGAACAGCAGCACAGATCCACAGGACAAGTAAAGGGAATTAATATTCCAAAATGATATGAAATGATCAATCTCCTTGACATGGAATAGGAATATTACCATCATGTGCCAACATACATCAGAATGCTTCTTTGCCAGACAGAGAGATTCTTCTGTCGAATAATTTTTATATGAGTACACAAATTCTCCATTCAGCTATTTTACAATAGTTGTATGCCACAGAACAGAAACTTGATTTCCCCCAAACAATGTGAAATGTGTAAACATATCTAAGCATACAATGAAAAAATAAAGACATGACAAGATATTGGTGGTTCAAAAATACACAAACTTCTAAAAAGACAGAGAATACATGTGTTTCAATGGCGATAATATAAAATCTGAACCCAGGGACCTTAACGATATCATCGATTCTAGACTAACATTTGGCCTCTAAGTGAGCCATGTAACATTACTGAGCCCAATGGAATGTTTGACTCTCACTAAGTGCTTGAACATGGCTACACTGCTCAAAATTTATAGGCTGGTGAGGGAAACTCTGCTAGCCAAAGCCATGTTTCAAGAAAGTTGTTAACATGAGTCAAACCTCATACAAGCATGCCATTAATTTTATTTTAACAAAAGCCTCATGTGCTTTTAATCATTTCTTTCTGGTAAAAGTCTGTTAACTTCTATACAACCCTGCTCCCCAATGCTTCTCTTTTACATACTTAACCCAAAGATTCATTCATTCATTCTCTCTTTCCCTCCTTCTAAATAATTTCACATACATTTAAGCATATCGCATGTTGGGCTATTCTTAAACAAAGTAGACATGAGTTCAGCTTTGAATGCTATTAATCAAAGTGACCGATGTTATCCACAATAACGGAAGGCTTCCTGGTTTACAACAGCTTTGTTAGCATGTGATTAATAAGTAGTTAATGCAAAGCAACTCCGCAACAGATTTGTTAAACTATTTTATTTTACTTCAAAGTTCTGTGGCAAAGTTTCAAGCTACAGTTAAGAGATTTGCTTTACTTAGTAAAAAGCATCAGCTGGCCAAACAGCTGATAGAATTCAAACATTTGGGGGCCCATTTGTTCCCCCAGGAAATAAATGTGGCCTACTGTGTTGTGTAATGATTAAATCAGGGGATTAAACTAACCAAAACAAACCAAATTTGCAAAATCAATTATTCCAATCATCATGATCAACAATAACAAAAAAACAACACCAACAATCAGTTACTCAAATCATCACCACCACCATCAACAACAACCAATTCAGGTGCTAAATGCATGATGTTTGTGTGGTCAAAATGAGACTATTGAGAAACAAGAAGAAACAACTGGCATGCTCAGGGAAACACCAAAGTAGAAATAATCTTCAGGAGAAAACTCCTGTGAAGTCAAAAAAGAGACACCTAGAAATTATTAAGTGGGGACACAACATAGCCAGTAAACTCTGAATGTCAGGGGAGAAGCAGAAATCAACCCCCACAAAGGAAAATAATGGAATAGAATACTCCAGAAGAAGGCATGGTTAGAACAATGAACAGGAAAATTCTTCGCTGCAACACTTAAGGTACAGATATGATTTGTAGCAATAATTTCCTACCAGTATTATTATTAATAATACTAACAACAATAGATTACACTTACTTGAGGACCAGGTTGACCCTGCGAAGGAAGAAAAAAGAAAGAGTTACAAAAGGTCATGTCTGTTTGCCCAGAATGTGAGAGCCTCAGCTTTCTAATTAGAAGGCAGCGAATGATCAGCTTGTCAGGTAAATGGGCAGACTATAAAGACAAACATCAGAGTGCAAATCCCATAGCCTAAAGATCCTTGGTTAAAGTCCCAGTTAGTGTATTTGTTAGAAGTAACAATTGACTATGAAGGGACTGGATTATTTCAACAAATTTCAGTTAAGGATCTAATGATTTACAGCTTGTAGTATGTTTGGTGCAAGCAGTTTTACATTCAATGTACAATACATGACGGTACATGACGAAGAACTAAGATAATTATGTTTTCAAATATCCCTTTAATGATTTAAAAACCTTTAAATAACCTTTAATAACCTTTAATAATTTTATATATTTTCTAATAACATATGACAAACTTCTGGCTAGTGAATTGCATTGAAACACACCACTTTATTATTCCTTGCTATGTGGAATCCCAGAAGCACACACAGCCCAAATCACAGTTGCTAGCTGAAGGAAATCATACATTTGCAACACTAGAGCATGATGTGTCTGGCTCCTTCCACCATGAATAGAACTAAGGAAGCAGAAGACTAACCACTAGGAAAATCAGTGGAAAATTTTAAAAGATCATAATTCAATGACAGTGAAAGATAAATTGTTTTACTGTGTATTCGTGAAGGACGTTTTACTGTTTCACTGTGGTTTTTTTTTAAAGAGCAACATAGTTTGGTGAAATCTAAAGACTATCAGATATTTAATAATCGGCAGGGCTTGAAAAATTTTAGAATGTCTCACCAGTCAGTCAAAAATTTCACCAGTCAGCATGACTGGACTATAGCCTTGCAATTTATTGGGATTGGGAATCACTGATTTATACCCTCAGACTTGGGTTGCTTTATTACCTGCGTGCCTGTAGGGTCATGGAACTTGTATTTTCAATGCCTTTCTTTTGAACGTCTCCAGCAAAAATAAAACTGAAAGCAAAAGCTCCCTCCTCTTAAGGAGCCATGGTTCCCTGCCACCCCAGGGTGTGTCCTCATTTGGTTGAAATTGGGAGCAGGGAATCTCCATATTCTCCAGCATGAGACTACTCTACATTCTCCTGCAGAGCTATATCTCTATGTGCAACTCGAACACTCTTCTCATGAGGAGAGGGCAGTTTTCCTTTTGCAATGGGAGGGGGGAGGGGAGGACTGCAGGATTAGAAAGAGAGAGACGGTGGGAGGGGAAGGAGGCAAGCAGGGAGAGAGCTGTGACTCGTCCAGCAGCATTTTTCACTCATCACAAACGAGTGGACGAGAGCATTTTTCAAGCCCTGAGAATCAGAGAGTGTTCCATAGACAGTTTGGTTGTAATTCAGAATAGAAAGAATTTGATAGGACATATTCACACCTTTGTCATTGGCAAACAATATTCTAGCCATCTCTTCTCTTGCAACTATTGCAAACTCTGTAATTTGAAGGATGCTAGTTTGAAAACAGAATTTACTGAGAGAAACAGTTAAATTTAACTTTGATTACAGCACCTCTTTGTAAAATGTTCTTAAAAGAAAGGTTGGGTTTGGAGCCTTTTTGTTTAACTTTACATATTAGCCACCCCAGATTTCATTATTTGGGATTTTAGTTCTAAAATAGAATTTACACAGAATGACTTGGCACTCAATACATTAGAGTTTAAAATGTCTTTGATTACAGCATCTTTTGAGATTAAACAGAATGTTGAATGAAGTCAGTGGTTTCCAACCTTGGGTTCCCAGATGTCCTTGAACTAAAATTCCCAGAAGCCTTCACCACTAGCTGTGCTGCCAATGATTTCTGGGAATTTTAGTCCAAAAACATCTGGGGATTCAAGGTTGGAAACCACTGGTTTAAGTTCTTTCTTTCTTTATTATGAGGTCACAAAACCAAGTTGCTTTAAGTAGGCTGCTGACAATATGTCAACTGTTTTACAAGCTTTTATTAGGTAGTAATGGAGTAAGAAAGAATAGGATAGGCAGTAGAAATACTTATCAAACTCTTCTGATTAAATGAATTTTCAGTTAAGTAAGTAGGTAGGTAGGTAGGAAGGAAGGAAGATAACTCCTAGGTATAGTTGATGAAAAGTTTTAGACCTTTGTCTATTGACAGTAAATTACAAATTCATGAAAATTTACAATTCTGCATAAATGACTGAGGAAGAAAAAAAAATCATGGAAAGGCCCTGTTTGGTGGGTTAAAGAGTCACCTATCAGCTTTCCATCCATACCAAGTGGACTCTGCGATAATCAAAAGCTAAAACAATAGCTAAAAACAAAAAGCTAAAAAAATCAAATGAATACAGACTTGTGGAAAGGCTATTACTTTCTGAATGTCAGCAATCGTAATCTCTTCAGGGCATTTCAGCCACCAAATACGAAAACAGCAACAGCAGAGCACCAGTAGATACAGAAAGGTATTTAGCACAATACAGTATTGGAAAGACACCACACAATTGTTGGTGTGCAGGAAAGAGATCAGCACAGCTAGATTTGCAGACATAAACATATTCTTCAACTCAATACATAAAATAATGCATCTGGAATTTGTATTTCATTTTGAACAATTAGGTAGCTACATGAGGTCCGTAATGTAAGGGCTGCTAGCATAATTATGGCTTCAAACCCCCACATCAAGTGCAAACATATCTCTTAGCATCTTGGATATAATTCAGGTTTAGCTGAACTTACTAAAATGAATCCCGTCATGAATGAAACTATGTCAATTTAGTATTTAAGGTACAGCACAATACTATATTTATCCAGAAATAAGCATTACTGAGTTTCCAAAGTGACTTATTCTTTAATGAGTGTAAGATTTCTGCCTGCATATTGCCACTAACTGTGTAAGAAAAGGAAAATATCTGCTAATCTTTCTCGATTAATAATGACTATTGTATTATTGACAATGAATTATTACTGTTTACATGTACAGTAATAAGTTTAATTACTTATTACTACACAATAGGTTGTTTTTAAATTTAAGCAAATAGTTTTAATTCAGTATCAGTGGATTACATCTGATTTTATATTTGTGCAGTTGAGAATCTTGTCTCATGTTTATTCTACATTGTTAGATTTTCTTGTTATAGATCATTCAGAATTACAGCTGGAATTACCAAATTATTTGAAGAACAAATACAGTGAACAGGGTTTGTGAAAGTGAATCTGGCTTCATCAACTCAGACTTAAACCTCAGATATTTCAGAACTGGAACTATTAGTTAATTTATAATCATAACCAAAGTCTAATGAAGACAGACATAAACTGAGTGTCCTTATATTTATGAAACATTCAGATGTGTAAAAATATCTTATTGCTCTATCTCTAAAAGATTTTACCTTCCTATAAATCTTATTTAATTGACAATCTCGCCCCTTGCAGTTTAAGTGCACAGATTAAGAATACTGGTTAGTAAAGTTGCTTTTTTATTTCATCTTGAAACTTTGTCCATTATTGCTAGACAGATTTTTGATATTCAGGCCATTAAATTAAAGATATCCTGTTTAGATAAAGCTCTGATCATATTCTGAACCCTAATGATCAACCTTGTGTTGAATGTCAGAGTTTAGTTCATTTTATTGGGGGAGGGAATAAATTGTAATCGATATTAGTTCTCTTTCTGCTCAGCATCTCTTTAGTAAACAAATCTCTCTGCAAATTAGCCATCAAACTACGTTTAAGGTGTTACAGCTGATTTATTTTCCATACTGCTCTAATGCATTTATCTCTTATGTATCTACTTACTTGGCCATTTGTTTTCTGGATACTTGATACTATATTCTACAGCCATAAAGCCATAATCTTAAATTATTTTATTTTGTTGTATTCTAGCTTTATTAATAAGAGGAAAATAAAGAGTTGCTGTTGGTTTAGAAGAGTATCAACAGCTCTGGATCATGTAGGCTGTCTCCATGTTCTCTCACAGATATTCAGTTGGTAATAACATGTGGAAGGGCCTTCTTCCTTATGAAGTCCATCATGTGACATTTTCTTGATCTTGAGATCAGATGGGGTTTCAAGCATTTTTGCAGACATCTTAAAACAGTGGTCCCCAACCTTGGGCCTCCAGATGTTCTTGGGCTTCAACTCCCCAAAATCCTGGCCAGCAGAGGTGGTGGTGAAGGCTTCTGAGAGTTGTAGTCCAAGAACATCTGGAGGCCCGAGGTTGGGGACCACTGTTTTAAAACATATTTGTTTGACCGGTGATTTTCATGACCATCAATACTACCAGCTATGCCTGGTCACTATAAATGAGATAATTTACTGTTTTATTCTTATAATGACTGATTTCAGTTTGTTATATGTCTCTCTGGCATTTCTGATGAAAAGGAATAGTTGTACATTTTTAGGTAAATCAATAAATCAACAGCCTTTGTGTTGGTCACAATAACAGTCTAAATACTTGAGCATATTAATTTTGCAAGCACGCGTGTGCTACACTGTGTTCAGATCTTTACTAAAATTAGGGCTCTGACGTCAGTGTTATGGATTTTGTCATTGATGAGCCTTAATTGAGATAAAGACAATGGTAAGGAGGATTATGCAGAAAAAGATGGTATTTAAAGAGTTTTTCTTGTAAAATAGCATTAATGATGCTTTCAATACTACCAATAGTAATAGCTATTTAACTGCAGAGCTGGAAGGGACCCTATGGATCTTTGGGTCCAGCTGCTCTCAAGGAGGCATGGTGTGATATTGAACTCCCAACCTCTAGGTTCACCACCAGAGACCTAAACCACTGAGCTATCAAGCATTGCTTCAGATTTTTGATGCACATGATAGTTTATTTTTAAAATTCTAAATATTTTTTAAAAGCTCATAAAGTGACCAAATTTTAGATCTGGAAAAAAATAATCTGAAAATAATACATAGAACTTAATTTTTTTGGCCATATCAATTGGGTTTTTAAAAGCCAGTCACATCGAAAAGCAACATTCCATGACTACTAATATCC